TGAAAGGAGACTGCGATTACACAACAGGCCACGTCATCTTAATCTTCATGCCTTTAAAGAAAGTTTAAATTGTCTTTAAGCTTTCTCTGGATAGCCTGAACTCATTTTTCTTATTAAAATGCATAAATTAAATTCATTTGATTCTAAATGCTCCTGAGTGCATTATATACTCAAAACATTGAGATTTAAACCTATGCTAGCATATATCTGATGATTTTTAAGGATGACTTAAAATAGCTAAGTTTTTAAGTACGTGGTGAGGATAGAATTTGCGGTCCTACTGTGAACGAAAACGTACAACTTTTTCTAAGGACGATTTCAGACTTTTTGGACAACTTTTGTCGCGATGATAGAAATAATAATTAAGACTGCTTTTCAGGGCTTATACTAAACTTCTTTAGGGCGTATATATATATATATATTCACATGCCTCTTTCATACAAAAGTAGTTATTATCTCTTAGTTTCTTGATCAAGGAATCGTTTTTGCGTCATGTATTTATTTTGCTAATTAATCTTATTTTAGTTTTTACAGTCTGCTACCCAGGATAGATGGTAGCTCCAAACTCAATTAAGTCTTACTATTTCTCTTAAAATGGTTCATAAATTGGTGCTGCACGCCCTTAATTCACGAAGCAAATGTGTTTTTCGAGCCATTGCAAGCTTCTCTACTTACTTTTAGAGTGGGGATATGTGCTGTAGGAAGACGTGGTAAATTCCCATATACCACGTCCACGGTCCGACTTTGGAAATGATTATGCATACAATGGACTCCGGACTAGGTGCGTTCCTCTAAGTCTTGCTACCAATATGACCATGTTGCGAAAACAAGGGCAAACAACTTCTATATAACGAAAGGAGACTGCGACCACACAAAAGTCCACCATCTTGGTCTTCTTATCTTCGGTTCCACATTATAATATTGGTTCGACCTTGTTTTTGCAACGTGGTCGGAGCGTCAGGGAACCTTGTGGAACGTACCCAGTCCCGTGTTCTCTGCCATGGTATTCCTGATTTGCAGCATTACACCATTGACTGGGTACATTCCCAAACGTTTCTTTGGCATCGTCAGTGAGAGGCGCCATCGTAAGAACAGAGTTACAAATTACCAAAGTGACAAGTGAAGGCAATCCCCTTGACTAATTTCCTGTTCAACCGTTCTGGTATCACTACTCGTCCATATTTTTTGGTACCTTTTTGTGCTGCATCTCTTTTTCTCAACCCCATATAGTCCATCCACTTATACAATTATGTGCCTTTGTTTCCTTCAATGGCGCCTAAGAGTGTGTCGCTACAAGTGGGTTTATGGTAGCGTAATCATCTCCTCCACCGGGACCAGGTGAAGCTTGCAGGGCTCCTGTCGTACATTTTGCACCCCCTTTTTTCCTACCCGTTTGTCAATTAGCCGCTGCTAAGCCTCAAAATCACTGTCTGGCTGCCTTAGAGCCTTGCATTCCCGTCCATATTCGCCATATTCGGAGGTTTAGAGTAGGTGCTGCCCATGCACATGCGAGTTCCTGGGAATCTTTCATTCTATGGGCTTCACAGTTCTTTTCGTTGGACCCAACCTCCTTTACGAGCATTTTTGTGTTTCCCCAATCTTTGTCGAATAGTTCGACATGTCTTAATAACATACTTATACTTAACGTCATATGGATACGTATATGATTTTCTTTCGTAAACTACATAATCTGGACAGGTCTGCCTGATATTGTACCTTATTATAATCCAATATCTTAGCAATTTTTGTCATGTTTCTTAATCATCATGTTTTTAATGATTCCCTGTCGACCGCACTCCGTAGTATTTTAAAATATTTTGGAATGAGAAGCCTGGCCATATCCCAACTGATTTTTTTCTTAATATCGAAGTAGTTAAACAATCTAATTCTTCCAGTATAAGTTTCATATAATTTTTTAACAAGAGCACTCTAAAGAATTTAATTAACTGTACCTAAATGGTAATGTCTAATGACGTTACAAAATCGAAAAGTGATCCTTACGTCTATTTAAAATGCTAAATGGAAGGATTCGCTTACTTTTATCTTATTTGTCCGAATGCATTTATTACATTATTTGACTATCTTAATTTCGTGATTTTGTCGCATAAGGATCAATACAGTTCAGCCTGCACTTTTGAACGCTAATTCCTTTCGCTATATAGAAGTTATTTGATCTCATTTTTGCAAATTTGTCATGTTAAGCCTACTTCGATGAACGCACATTGTCCTTAGTCCTCCCATATTATTTTTTATAATTTCTAGCTTCTGATCGTTTCATCTTTTTATGGTTAGATTTTTAGGAGAATTTGTTGCCATTTGGATACATTTGGGGTTTTATCCATGATATAAGGAAGGCTCTTAGTGAATCGTCTCGCTTTTTGCTTTTATTTTCAAATTTACTTTTTGCACCATCTATACTGTTATTAATTAATGAAACTGCATTTGCAATTATCTTAAATTTATCTAGTTATGCCCTTCGGGAGTATAAAAACTAGGGCCTGCATTTTTTATTGTCATATTCCTCTGCTTCATGATTAATTCTTTGCAGACTGATTTATCCAATTTTTCACTTGCTATATTTTTATTTTTATTATTCTTGCTAACAACTAATCATTTATGTATGTATTGAGGATCTAACCAATTCTCATTATAAATTTTACTTATACATATAATGCTTTACTCAAATTTTCATTCAAATTATAAGTAATCAGAATGTTATCATTTTGTATATACATTATAAATGCCTGCTTTCACTAGCTTCGTGGATTATTCTATCTTTTTTCTAGATTAATATAATTTCTAAGAATTATCGCTAGCAATTATTGCCTAACTTATGACAATATATTCCGTAGAAAAATTGAAAGTTTTCTTTATGTTATCGTAATATTGTATTGACTTATCTTTGTATTTTAGTTTCCTGCCGGCCCCAGTGTGAAACAGCAGCTTGCACCTACACGTCAACATTGTTCTACTACACCGTGTTGTGGTACTGTCGGCACTTCTATCGTTACACAGCTCCCTGCCTCGGTCACAACAGCCAATTCTCTCCTACCATGTCCAGAGCCTTTTCATATAGAGGCTAGAACCTGGCATTCTTCAAGTACTATCTCTGGTAAGCTTCCTGGATCAGCTCGCCCCGTTGCTACAGATGGCTCGCATCAAGTGGACCCCATGGATTTCGAATAGCAACATTGTTCTCTCTCTTTCCTCATCTGATCTCCTAAACTCTTTTATCTTCACCAGCGCTGTGATTCGCAGCCTCAACTCACAAGACATTGGGCTGTTATCCGGTTCTCTTTGGTCTCTTAGCTCAAATCTATATTTACTTTTCCAAACTTCAGACCGATGATAAACCTGATTATCTTTCATAGCATGCCTTCTTCCACATGAACCCGTGCAACTCGTCTCCAGTGATTTTATTAAGTCTCTGTTCTGCCTATCATCAAGTTCTTTGCCCTTTATTCTTATACATTTGATTGGCCAGACACATCTTACTGTGTTGCTGATTTCAGAGTATCTTATTGGTCTTACTCGGGTATCTCAAGCTTAGTTTGGTCTTTCGATTTCCAAATTTTTATATTTGCTTGTTACGGAGTTTAATAGGGAGTTTTGGCCTTGTTTCTCTCAGCCACTTAAGTTAAGTAGTGCCAATATTCATGTAATCGATTTCTTCTCTTTTTTAAGTACATGCAGCTTATTATTAAGTATATTTTGTTTTCTGATCTTTGCTGGGTCCAATTCAGCCTATGAACATACTTTGCTGAGCTGACTGCATGCTAGTGAGCCCTTCAAGTTTCCACAATAACTACATTTATCAATCATTCTTACTCTAGTTTGCTTTACAATGGACGCCAATCCTACATTTTACCAGTCTATTAATAAGGTTTTATTATTATTTTCAATTTTCTTCTATGCATATTTTGTACTGGACAGATTGTCTGTGTTTATATGCTATCTGTCCATTCCCTCTTCCTTTCTTTGTTAATCTTTGATCATGCTTCTACGATTTCTGTACCATATGTCTCGAATCTCTAATATGGACATAAATGTATGTGCATATACGTACATAAATATATACATATTGGTATGTGTATATATATCCTCAACTATATATACATATAAATAATCTCTATCCTTGATTCATATGGGCCTGCTCATCTGTTCACAATTTTCGAGATCAAAATCTCCTTTTTGCTTTTCTAATCAACGAGATACTGCAACTTTTACAAAACCAATCTCTTTAGCCTTGTTACATCCTTCTGCCTAATTTTCCTTCTAAACTTTGGCTCATTCCTTTTTTGAATGTTGGCATTATAGCAAACAAATAAGTGACATTCTATAACATTGTTTATTTTTAAATGACTGTTATCCTAGTCTCCCTTATAGATTTTTCAATATCCGAGTTTGTCTATCTATGATCCAATCTACTTATATTTTTGCACAATTCCTTTATGAAACAAGGCCCACATGCGTCGATATTGCTTTGCTCATATCAGTCGACCTATTTCGATTTCTGATTCTGAATCAGCCTGCGATAAATGTTTGAAACTTTTCGCTCACCTCTTCAAAAGAAATGTAAGGTATTCTAACGAGCTACAGGTTTGTTCTCATACTCTTTATCTTTTGATATCCGGCAGGCTTTTTTCAATCTGTCGATGTCCGCTTGCATACCCAGTTAGTCAAAGCTGTCTACAATTAGTTTTTTTTATTACGCACAGCCCTGGATTAACCAATTGTACTTGACCGGTGTCTTCTTTGAGTAAGTATACAAAATCTTCCATAGTCATGGGATGCCTATCTATGTTTCACTCAGTTTGGGCCACTTAATTTTATGGGCTGTGTTAACTCTATTTTGTTTAAGGTGATGAAGAACTAATGATTGAAATTTTCCTCAAATATATGAGTATACATGAGGTTTCATTTAATTTCAAATAGCCCTGCTTTCCCAAATGTATTTTTATCCAGGTTTGACTGCAGTTCCGACCTCGCCAAGGCTTTATAAACTTTCGGAGCGAGATTTGAACCAATGCAACGTGTAAGCTCGACACGTTAATCACTCCGCCATATTGCCA